GTCTTGTGGCTCTATCAGTGTCTATCCTTTTTTCCAATCTAGGCCATACTGAAATTCATTATAACGCGTTTTGACTTTCTTAGAGGTGGTACAGCAAGCGATTATGATGTTTCAGTGCGTCCTTTTTATCTAAGAAATACATGCTGTGTCTCTGTCTCTTTATATAGTGTAAGAATAGATTATAAATGAAATAGAAAATTGCATAAATGTTTTCTGACAATTTCGCTGGCTACCCTTGAAATCTGGCTGACTAAGTGGGCATCTGATATCGATCGATAGGAGGCCAGTCCTACGAAGCGCGCGCTCGTGGTTTTCATAGGTCATAGCCAATTCGTCAATGATCACAGTCGATGTTCTAGATATGGTAAAACGGTGCTTACCAAAACGGTGCTTACCAACTTTGATAGTTAACTATCAATGTGTAATTGCCAGGTAACGTACTGCCTTTATCACTGAGATAGCGTTAGCCCAACTCCATTTCACATTTTGTCATTTGTTCTCCAGGTACTGCTCGTCATGACAGATGGTATTTCACAAGACTCGCTCGGGAGATCCTCACGTGACCTCCGAAATGCGGGCGTGCGTATTTTGGCGCTTGGAATCGGCAGAAAATTCAGACTAGCTCAGCTTAACCAAATGGCAGCAAACCCAAGATACGTGTTCAAGGCCGGCTTTAGAGGCCTTCATCGTGTGGTGAGGTCAATCAAAAGAACGGCTTGTGGAGGTATCTATCTTAAATTAAACAATGAAAACAGAGATAAAGTACTTACAAGAGAAGATGAAGGGTAGCAGAAGTAATCCCCCATGTAGACCTTATTCTTAAGGTGATCCCGCTCAAGTTATTTTTAGATATGGCATCCAGTCCTCACGCGGATAATGTGACTGCGCGGGTTGCGTGGATGTTTTCTTGTAGGATAAAAATGTGTATGAAGCTGCTTGGGCTAGCCACGTAGATAAAATTCGTGTCAGAGGATTGGCTATTTCTAGACCCTCCTGGAATTTATAAAGCCGCAGATGATGTAAAAACAATTTGAGCGGTAAGCAAGGCGACGAAGGATGAGCTCTTACCCTTTATCCTCTCCTAGTACTTAAAGTTACATTGTGCAATCCCGCAAGTCAGATATTATCATTATTATTATTATTATTATTATTATTATTATTATTATTATTATTATTATTATTTATTATTATTATTTTTTATTTATTATATTTTTTTTTTCACTTAGATTCCTCATTTAGCATTTCCCTCAAGTCTTTATCAGTTTTAAACACAGGTCTGTCCAGTACCAGGGTAGAAACGCTCGACCAAACACTGTATGAGATCAAAAATCATCTCGTGCTAAAAGCAGAACATGGCGATTGATCAACCAATCAATGCTGCTTTTGACCTTAAAACAGGTTTTCACTAGAATCACAAGCATAATCGCGAGTACGATTCTCGCGTGCAAATACAAAGAAACGCAAGGGAAAACACGTAGATTGAATCATTGATTCTTGTGCTTGATTGTGCTTGCATTTCACAGTGTCTCGTTACTCTGTTAAGCCCTGTTCAAACGGGAAATGTTTGGCGACCAAACACGATCAAACAGTGTTTGATGACCAAACAACACCTTGTTTGATCGCGTTGAATAAAATTTGAACGTCAACAAACATTTGATTAAATACTATGAAATTTACTCGTTTGGACGATGAACAAATATGTTTGATACCGTTCGGCCATTTTGTTCAATATCACCTGTTTGGTCTTGTTTGGTCGCCAAACATTTCCTGTTTGGACAGGGCTTTATATTTGCGTTTATGCGTGCGTCGCTAATGAACATCAGGCTTTGCGATACTGACAGTATTTTGTGTTACATATTTTGTAGCGCGTCGTGACCAGGCACGCAGAACAAAGTGGAAGCGTATGACTAAAACACGTCGTTTTCAGTGGAGAAGAAGGCGGCGGCTAAGGAGAACGCGAGGACGCAGGCGAAAGAGGAGAATGCGTACGTAAAAACTGGTCTTGTATACCCAACTTAAAGGAGCTCAGTCACGATTTGCGCCTCTTGAAAAATTTAGCCTAAATGTTTCAAGTTCGTCGTTTGTAATCCGTGTCAATCTTCGCATCCTTGACCATCCTTGTTCCTTTATGGTTTATTATTATCTCTTTGATGTTTTTCTATCTTAGTAAACTATTATTTTCAGGTTTCCTTCCATTTAAAGGAGATTTTGTACGTGGCCAAAAAAAAGACAAAACACCGTGATTGAGCTCCTTTAAAAGTTTATTCGAGATTCTTTTGGAATATTTTCCGGATTCTTTCGGGGTTTCTCTTTTGAAGTATTTAATTCTCGTTACCCTGGTTCTCAACACACACCGGTTTTGATGTGACGGAGAGGACGTTAGGCGTGGTTCTCCCTTCACTCTCTGTCAGTATGAGTTGAATTATAAGTCTGAATTATTTAAGATTTTTCAAGTTCTAAACCACCTATTATGAAACAGCATGCTATGCTACCTGGAAATGGACACCATTTATCATTTCATCGATTTGTTAATGCATTGCACATATCGCCGATTTAGATGCAATGTATAGGGTAAATTTTTTTACGCAGGCCTCCGCGCATCTCTTATTTAAAGACAAAACATTAGCAAGAATATGATTATTTTATCATTCTCGGTTTCATTCTCTTTGCAGCGTGGGGAAAGAAAAGAGATGTAGTGATCGTCAAACCTGACAATTTCAACGAAAAAGATGACGATAACCACAGTGGCGCTGATGATGATGGCGATGGCGAATCATCACGTGATTCAAAGCAAGTACGGGGAAGTCAACGAAGCGAAATAGCTCAATTGGAGACTAAAGGTTAGTGTGTTAAGTTGCAAAACGACAACAAGTTCTGTTTTAGATTAACTGCAAAGACTGTAGAAAGCAAAATACGAGGGCAAAAGACTGCGAGAAGCGAAAGACGCTAGGGTGCACTGACAAATACGACTTTATTTCCTGCCCTGGGAACTGGCGTTTTGCCAGCATTTCACAGTGTGCAATGCCAGATACCGTGTTCTACATCCGTTAAAAGTTGTTTGAATTCTTCTTTACAATCATTCATACCAAGTAAATGAAGAGCACAGTTTGAAGTACTGTTTCTGTCATTCTACAGTTAACAAACCAGACCTGACCCCAAGCTATTTATGGCGTTTTGGATCATCTGGAAACAACTCCGTCGCCCTAGATGAAGTGCACGGTCACGTGGTGCATTTTGAGGGAGGAGCCTCCATCTCAAACACCACCGAGAGAGGCCTGGTGGCTGACACCAATGGCGGATGGCTATCACTCAAAGAAACCAACAGTGAGTAACTGTGCAATGATCTTGCTTCGCGATGACATGCGAGGGTCATATTTATTGGTGGTTTGTAACCAGTCCCTAGAGATTCACTTGACAAAATCGTAGTGGCCATGTTGGCGGCAATTATGAAAGAAGCCATCGCAAAGAGAAATTTGTTTTTAACGTTCACCAACATGGTGGCTATGACGCCACATGCAAACCGAGAATTGAAATAAAGCTCTCTTTTGATATGTTGTTGTTGTAAACGCTCTTTAAAGCTGTAGAACAACCTTGTGGTCACCCAAATAGTTTGGGTGATGACCAGCTACTGTGTGTATGATTAATTTCTCTATTAATTTATAAATTTTTGCAAATTACAGTACAAATAAACGTTATCCATATCCTGTCTTGTGAGTCGCCTCTACGCTAATCAATATATGCAGATGGATCCGTGTCCTCGTAAACAGTTGTTCAATTTATTGTCATACTAAAAATTCTAAACAGCGTACTCACAAATATACTGATGTACTTTTGTTGTTGTTGTTTCCTCTTGTATGTTTGTTTGTTTGTTTGTTTGTTGGTTGGTTGGTTGGTTGTTCTTTTTTACCTTTAGTGAGATAATCCTAAGCTTGTTAGAGATAACAGAGGCAATTTTTGAAAGTTCTGAATTCGTTTTCCTCAGATACCTGCTTCAGTGATCCTGGGCATTGCTCAGAGAACGGTATGACGGTCATGTCTTGGATCAAACTCAACAAGACGTCTCTCAGTGACAAGACCAGCTCGTACATAATGTCTAGTGGCGGCCAGTCCACCGCGTCTCGCGGTTTCGCCGTGCTGTACATGCCTAAGAGGTACATCGTGATTCTAAGCACCAAAAACAAGCAGTGGAAACTGGACACGCCTGTTTTGCCAAGCGGATGGTTCAATCTCGCTTTCACTTGGCGAGAATCCAACCAGCTCAAGTTGTTTGTGAATGGAACCTACGTGACCTCCAGTAATCCTGCTTTGGTTTCCAGGCCCCACGATTCGTTTACGACGTTTGATGTTGGTCGACCAAACAATTCGGATAGGCTAATGTACAGATTCCCATTGAGGATAAGCGATTTAGCTCTCTGGGAGAGGGAACTTTCTGAGCAGGAATTAAAATCAGGTCTGTAACTTACACCCTGTTATTTTAATTGATAGAGCAACTGGTCAATCTTCGCGCAATTAAATTATCGCCTGCCTCTTAACAAGTATTTGGTGAATGGCAAATTAGAATATATACCGTAAAATACTGGTTATAAGTCATAGGGTTATATGACTTGACAAAGGAATTTAGAGTGGGAATATTACGAGGGGAGCTTGGTCTCTTGTTAGCATCTCCCCGAGGTCGGGAAGATGCTTACAAGCGGTATGAAAAAAAACTTTGGGAAGAGAAACGACTTGAAGGCTCCGATAAAAACTTGATTAATTCTTGTTGTTGTTGTTGTTGTTCTTGGTAGCTTACAGATATAACAAGTGGGGCTTATAAATAGCTCATGGCAAATATATTTGTAAGCTCCTTTCTGACTTTGTAGTTATTTCTCGGGGACGATGTAGAGAATATTGACGAGAATTATGATGCAAGGTTAGGGGTGGCTTTAAGTTATAAGGCAGCTAAGCCTTCTACGAATGTGGAAAATGAAATGAAAATGGTTTGTTTGAATGTTTTAGCGATGTATATGCAGTTAAGCCGTCACAGTGAACCACTAAAGAGGAACAATGAAATTTAAGGTAATACATTATTTCATTATTTGTACTATATTGAATACATTACTCGCGCTCTGATCATGAATACTGAATACACAGACGAAAAAACGGTCCTGACGTTACTCCACTTTTGCCTTAAAGTTTAAAAAAAAAACCTGCCGTTTCTTAGGCCAAAGAACGCGTGCATCTACGCAATTCTCGCGTCTCGTTGACGAATATCGCGTATTTTCTGCCATCACTTAGAATAGACGACAGCGGACAAACCATGGCATACTGAATTTTAATGTTGTGTTTATTTAAGAGAACTCTCCTTAAACAGCTACCCTATAGACTGAAAACGGCCTTGTTAACAACGGACATGGCTACGCGAAAACCAGAAGGGTTGAACAACGTTCCCGCTGCCATATTTTTTTGTGCCGTGTTTTGCCTCTTGATTGTCAATTGTCTGAAGTTGTGGTTGTTATTTTGCAGATGTGACATTACTATAGCAACGCGTGAAGGTTCAAGAGATGCTCTGAGGCAACGCTGTTTTCTTAGAGTCAGCAAAATTTGCTGAGTAGTGCATGTGTTATTAGGCTGCGTTATTTGTGCATTTATTATTGTGCCACTTGAACAAATAAATTTATTACCGTGAATCAGTTTCTCGTCTCCTTCTTTAGAGAGTGTTGACGAACGGATAGTATATCCGTGGAGCATATACGCGAACTCACAGTGAGAACATGGGGGAAAATAGAACGATGTTGTTGTCACATGTACGAAGGTGAAAGCGCGGGTTGTTTTTACGCGCAGGGACCAGGGTCATCCCAACTGCATGGGTGTTGCCTATAGTTTGATTTTAGACAGCATGGAGTGTCGGCTTAAGTTAATGGTAAGACAAGGTTTAGGTTTAGGATAAACGTAGAAAGACGGAACGCACAAGGAACACGGAATAACGCAGTAGAAACACACCCGGGAAAGAAAAGAACGAAAGAAACCCGGGAAAAGCACGAGGAATCTCGAGAATGCCATGGGAAAAGTACAGCAGAATGTAAGGGGAAGGGAACTCCTTCCCCGCCTCCAAAAAAAGCGTCAGTAGTCAGCTCAGACTCAATTTTAAGAATGATGCTAGGGCGAAGGAATATTTTAAAATAAACTTCAACGTTACATGTACAGCGAGGGTTACTAAAAAACGAGGGGCTTCAGCGGAACATGCTAGGGAACGCACGGATCCCATAGTGAAAGAACCAGGGACGCAGAAATGGAACGCCATTCACAGGTAAATGCATGGGATACCTAAGGGAACTCATAGGGAATATAATATACGGGGAGCGTACTACCGTAAACTTCCGAGAGTAACGACCCGCATTACTTTCGGAATTAGCAAGCTTTGGAACCCGTCACTTTCGGGGGGTCACCACGTTACTTTAGGGAAGCAAAAAACGTTATATAAAGTTGTTGCGACTGAGATCTTTTGATGAAACAAACTTGAAAGAAAGAAATTCGTAAAAAAAATATCATAAAACATGACCTGTCCCGTTCCTTGAAGAAATTCTACTGATTTTGTTTTTTAAACGGCGCAACATGAACAGTTGAAGCAACTTTTCACGCTTCGTGGCATAAGCGATACCTTCCCTTATTGTACCGTAAGTAACTTTCACTTAGCTATTGCATGGCTGGAAAAATTAATATCCTTTGAACCTTGGTCTCTCGATTTTCGGGGGTGGGCTTAGGGTGGGTTGGCTACTTTCGGGGGCCTCGTTACTTTCGGGGGCTCGTTACTTTCGGGGGTGCTTACTTTGGGAAGTTTACGGTAGCATAGTAAGAAAGCGCGCGAAAGAACGTATGGGGTAACGGAGGGATAAGTGCATGAAGAATCCACAGAAGACTTAGGAAGGAGAACACCTGGTCCACGGGCGCGGGTTGGGTGCCACCACAGTGTTGAATGTAAGCCAAGATTGGGTGGTGGTCAAAGTTGGTTGTCGTACAACCTCAGATGTCGTTACTTGTAGAGGTGAGGCCGTAAAGTCATTGTTAGAGTTAAAACTAAGGGTTAGGGAGGAAACGAGGGAACGGGTAACGTAGAGACTGCACCAAGAAAGCACGAAGGAACTAATGAGGGGAAGCGCTAGACAATTGTGAGAGGAGAACGAAATGGAACGCAAGAGGGTAAACTATTGGATTGTTACTCAATTAAGGGAACACATACTTATGTACTCAACCAGTCTAAGGCCTGGGTCAGGAATTTAAAGTAGAATTATTGTTGAGCAGCTATATCTCTTGTTAAGGTGAAATTTTCACTGATTATATAAAACTCGGCGTCCTCCCTTAACATATCATTTTGATCACGTGACGTGTCACGTGATCATTTTATTATTGTTGGCGAATGTTCCTTCTATTCATCAAATTTAAATTATCTACCTTGCTACGTTTGAAATGACCTTCCTTGATTTCGTTTTTAGAAGATATAAATGATCAAAAGTCGAATTTTGTTGAAAAAACGACCTTTGACCCTATAAAATTTTTGTGCGAAAAGAGGGACGGGTCATTCCAAATGTGAGAGGATGGAAATAATTGACCTGCATGTAAAACGCGTTTTTGTTTGATGATATGACTAAAATCTAGCAATTCCTCAAATAAAGGATATTTTCCGTTAAACGTCACGTGACATGTCACGTGACCTGTCAGAAGCACCAATGGGCCATTTCCGAGTTGTCTTTTGCCTCTGTGTCAAAACGAGTCTGCGATCGTGTGAAACCATTCATATGAAAATGAGTTCCGCCTGCAGGTTCATTTTCATGAGAATCAAACCTAGTTTTGCACGAAGAAGGTAACTCGGAAACGGCCTATTCTGCTTTAAAATGTCCAGGGGCCCGTTTCTTGAAAGCCCCGGAAACTTTTCGGGCCCGTAAAGCCATTTTTAGTTCATCTGTATCTAAAATCGGAGAAGTGTATACGCCTGAAACTTCTTGTATGAAGGGAACCTCTGTTCATGTTAAGAATATGTGAATAAAACAGCTCTGTAATCGTAAGGTTCGAGATTCTGCTATGGCTTTCCGGGCCCGAAAAGTTTCCGGGGCTTTCGAGAAACGGGCCCCTGGACGTTAAAACGTAATTGTGTGCTGAATTTGGTTCCATTGCCATTTATGCCTTCAGAAACATAACTAATCAATTATTTTTACCAGTGAAAGCCTTTGACCCAGACCTTAAACTACTTGAGTTGAAAATACATGGGAAACGCATGACGGAAAGTAAGAGAAAATCTACGGAGAAAAAGAGCGGGGAACGCAGCGAGAACTGGCGGGGACGAACGAGGAAGAAGGGGAAAGGGGCGAGACAACAGACCAGGAGACGCACGAGCAAACGTACGGCGAAAAAGTTGAAAATGTCTAAAGAAAGGGGAACTTGGTAACCGTATGGTAGAATCAACAGGAAAATTTTTATACGGAATTCGAGATTTTTCCTATCAAAAACACTTCGCACAAGTTTGGGGGGCCAGTGTGAATGGTCCCCTCAGTGTGGAGCTTCTGAAGGAGCCGCGAGGGTAAAGGAGAAATATCCCACAATTCCTATCGATCGTTTAACTTGAGAATTTTTGTGTGTGCGAAGTTCACATTAAGTTGGCAGCAAAAGTTTGTCTGTTTACGAGAATCACGTGATCGAAAGGAATTCTACCAATCCTACAGATTCGAAGATTGGGTGTTTAAGTTGGCTTGTGCGAGTGGATTTTCGACCTCCTTCATGTTGGCCGTTTCGCTTTTGTGTACCATTTATGGGTTGTAAGATACTTCATTTTTTTTTATTTTCCCAGCTTTCAGTTATCAAGGTAGGTTTCTCTAAAGGTCTTTTACAACTGAACATATTTCTCGTCAAAAAAAGGCGCAACACTGTGACAACGGTACAGAGTGACGAAATAGCGGCGCTAACGGACTCACGTGAGCAGACTACCTATTGTCTAAACACGCTAGCAGCGTTGCAGGCGTAAACGGGGAAGGGGTAGGGATCGGGAGGCAAAAAAAGCAAAACGCGAGAAAGAAAGAGAACAGCACCCTGTCCCGATAAAGACGCCCGTTTCCAATAAGCATCGCAGTTTAATTTCCTCAATCCGTAAAATTCAAACAAGCAAAAAGGACGCTACGCACGCACAAGTACGCAGTGCTGACCTATTTTTTTCCACGTGCTGGCGTCGAACGAAAGAGAAAGACCGTGAGACTATGTTTTTCAACTTCTTGGTTAGTAAATAAGCTTTTTTATCCCATTTTTCGAAGACTTTATTAGCATATGCAAGGCATATTGTAATTTGGTGACTCTTTCTCAATTCTAGGTCACAGAAAAAGAACGGAAATTAGGAATGTATCGGAAAGCCGAGGCCGAAGCCGCCATATTGTTTATAAGCTTACATTAAGCTTAAGGTGGGTTGTCTTCTAATTATTTGATGGGCAAAGATTCTAAGTTTGATCGAATAGTTAGCCGCGATCAGGTAATTTGAATTTTGCATATTTTGGCAGTGAAATGGCAGTAAATTTACAGTAAAACCCAGTTGTAACAAGTAGTTTTCATATTGTCTTCATGAATCTTGGATATGCATATACCTCACTATTTGGAAACTATCCGTCAAATTTAAGGTAATTCCTCTGAAATTAAAGTGAC